CTCTTTTGAGTATGCCGCGGGTGTCGTCCGTAAGCCATTCAGCCAAGTTCCTTGATAGTTCTGATACGTACAGCGACTCAGACCCAGAACCTGTACCGAGCATGTCCTTGGTCGTTACCAGACCAAGCGCGGAAGCGGATTGGGATGCCAGCGTGTTGGCTTCCGAGCTACCGTTGGTACCTAGATTGGCCTGCGATGCGAATTGTTCCGCCAGAGCTATGATCTCCTTCGCGGAAGTCATCAGCGCGTCAAGGTCTTCGAATGCACTGCCTATCATGGCCTCGTTGTTTTGTCTTTGCTCCAAGCCTCGTCGCTCCAGCCCCGCAATGCCAACTACACGAGGTCGGTCGACCTCTGCCGATGAACCGTCAGACATAGCCGTATAGCTGTCGTCAAAGTTACCTGAAGACGGCCGTGGCTTAGGAATTGGCGGAGCGCTTTGGAGCAACCATTTACGCTGAACTAAAGCATTCTTCAACCGCTCGTAGAATATCGGTCCTCCACCTGCGCGGAACGATATCTTGATGCATTCGACAGATTCAGACTGCAAAGGTGATGAGAGGACTGGTCCAGGGGACTGCGATCTATCGAGATCTTGGAGAGTATCCAATCTCTTATCCACGGCCGTTGTTAAAGATGCACCACATATCTCGCAGTTGAGCAGAGAAGGATGGTTCTGATAGGTACACCTTGGGCATGACGACGTCCCTCCATTGTTTGTAGGGGCAGGAGCGCTACTCTTCGTGTCTTTGGGTGGCGGGCCCGGAGCTGGTCTGTTTGAGATTGCTGCTATGGCTGCTTTGACTACATGTACTGTAGGCGGCTTGATTCCGCATGCTAGACATGGCGGTATGGGCGTGCGGGAGGCAAGCGCGGGATCGAAATTGGATGGAACCGGGTTCGAGAAGGAACATATGGGACACACCCACGTTGCGCTTGCCGGAGGTGGCGGTGCGGGACTGCTATGTCGTGGGGGAGTTGATGACGATGATGCGACTCGTGGATTCGGGGGTATAGGTGAGCCACGCGACAGCTGCTTCAGGGGCTTGGGATAAAGTGTGATCTTGGGTGACGACTTGAGGAAGCCAGCCTATGTGCAGTCAGCGTTGTGTGCTTGTCCTTTGCACATGTGCCGGTGCATACATAGAACTCTGGTTTCTCGACATCCTTGAGGAAGATGGCGACGGAGTTCTTGCGTGGCTCGCTATGGTCAACGTAGCAGACACGATGTGAAGTCAAGTATGACTGGCCATTCTGGTACTGGGGAATCTTGAATTTCCTATGCGGTTGATTAGCAGCGGATAGCAACTGTCACGAACATGCGCGTACCCCTCATAAAGCCCGACGGCGTCTTGGACGAAAAGGAGCGTCTCCTCCGGCAGGAGCGACGGGCGCAGTGCGGTAGTGAGGTCGAGCTGATGCAAGAACATTCAGACCATCTGCAAGTAAAGATATGCGAGGTGCAGCCATCGCATTGGATCGAGTCGACGATGCCCGATTCCGCATGCATTCACCGAGCCCAGCCATCGTCATTGGCCAGAAGCTAGCATGCTTACGGTTAGCACAGCGCTAGTAATCGCCAAGGAAGGCGCGATGCAAATCAGTTGAGCGGGCCGTCGCTTCACCCTCACCTCCACACCGCGACACAATAGACCTGTCCCGCGCGCGCGCCATCTCTCGCACATCTCTCTTGTCCATTTGCAACTACTCACCTAACAGCCAACTCCATTCGCGCTTTTTCTGCCTTGCTTGCCTGCTTATGTCTTTGCCCTCGGCTACTGTAGCGTGGTCCCGGCCAATGCAGTCACCCGCCTATAACACAGTCAATCCACGCACCACCCTCCAAGTCGCGCCCGCGCCTGTTAGTCTTCACACTCATACAAGAGAACCAGCCCACGCTCACACACGGCAGCAGTCAGCTATGGCTCCCGAAGCACCCAAGAAGAAGGTCGAGTGGCCTCCAGCCGTTCGCGAGTACGTGAGGCGAGCTTTCGATCCGCAGAACGCCATCCCAGGCATCTCCCAAGCAGACATGCAGGCACGGTTGAAGACAACCATCGGCTGGTTTGCTGAGCGCAACTCGCACGATACAGTTCATTGGCCCACATTTCCTCTTCCTCAGGAGCTTCTTCTTGAGGAACGACGGGCGGCGGCCATGGGAATGCCTACCACTGCCGTTGCCAACGGCATGCACCCTGCATACATGAATGGCTCAGTCACACACACTAACCAATCTCCACCCCAATCAAAGAAGCGCAATGCTCATGAAGCTGAGGAGTCGCAAGTCGAACAAACACAAGCCAATGTCCCGCCATGGCGCAAAACTAACCTAGCATCTCGCATGACTTTTAGCGACGGACACAATGAGAAGCGCCAGAAGAAGAACGTCCTCGCGGATGCCGCAAGTAAGTTTGACCAGGCTGAGCTTGACAAGCGACGACAGCGCTTTCAACTCGGCCACAACGGTACCAAGACGACTCCCCCTTGGGGCTCGCCACGGAAGGACGAAGACGACATGCCTACTGGACCTGTTGTTGGAACGAACGAGAATCTCGAGAAGAGCTACTTCCGCCTTACCGCTCCGCCCAAGGCTGAAACCGTTCGACCGCTCCACGTGCTCAAGAAGACCTTGGCCATGCTAGTGGAAAAGTGGAAAGCGGATAAGAACTACAACTACATCTGTAACCAATTCAAATCGCTCCGTCAGGACCTCACTGTCCAACACATCAAGAACGCCTTCACTGTCAAGGTGTACGAGATTCACGCCCGGATATCACTAGAGAAGGGAGATTTGGGTGAGTATAACCAGTGCCAGACGCAGTTGAAGGCACTTTATGCGCTGAATTTGGGAGGCAATCCGGCCGAGTTCAAGGCATATCGCATTCTCTACTTCGTATATACGTGCAACAAGACCGACATGAACGACATGTTGGCAGAATTAACCCTCGCAGACAAATCCCACGAATGGATCAAGCATGCTCTTGATGTTCGATCTTCGCTGGCTCTTGGCAATTACCATAAGTTCTTCAGACTGTATCTCGAAGCACAAAACATGGGCGCTTATCTCATGGACATGTTTGTCGAGCGTGAGCGCCTCAACGCTCTAGCTAATATGTCCAGAGGGTATGTATACGTACCTGACTCTACGCCGGTCATACACTAACAAGCTGCAGATACGTAAATGTCACACTCCGTTTCCTCACTGACGAACTTGGTTTCGACAATGATGAGATATGCCGTGAATTCCTCAAAACGCACGGTGCGCAAAACGTCATTGAAGACAAAGGCGATCGTCAGTACCGCGTCAGGATCAGAGAAGCCGCATCACAGTTCGAAAGCCTCCGTGCTGCCGCATTCAGCAAAGTAGACATCAAGGGCCAAATATGAGTCGACCTCCGAGCAAGCAGCACCTTCCTTTCATCTTCTCCAGTATCTTATTACGATTTCGAATTTTCAATTGCACTAATCCTCTACGATACCCTGCGTCACCTGGCACGTCACTCATGTCTCGAGCCACGACCCCCCGGTGTTTAACACTGCTTCTCTCGATGACAGTAGACGGAACGTGGGGCACCCGCTTGATGCGTTGGATGCGCGGAATCTTCTAGTTTTCTTCTCATACATGCAATGTCTCAGATGTTGCTCATCACTAGCCAAAATGGGTTCTTTCGAGCTTTTGGTACGTCATGGACATGGATGAAAAAAGTGGACTGGAAAACAAAATGGGGTAGAGTGGAGTTGGCCTAGATGGCCATGTAGGATTCGAGCTGGCTGCTCGATGGTGGTGGTCCCTGTGTCTCAGAGCATTCGGCTCGGGTATGTCCGACTGCACATGGGGTCGGCAAGACCGGCATCACGGCAGTATGCCCCACGGACCTGCAAAGATTGAGCAACAATGTGGCCATAGCACTGATCGTGAGGTGTTGGCTGCCGCGTTTTCGATTGTCCATTGTTTGGGCCATGGCTGGGTGTGTTCCTTTGTGAATGCCAGCTGGGGCGGCTTGACTGAGCCAATGAGATGACGGAAGAGGGCATAGAGGGTTTGATTGGATAGGGCGTAGTTCTTTAGTGGAGGTTGGCGCTAGTGATATCCACTCAGAGGATGCAGGCGTTCGTGTAGTCGTCAATGCATTGGTTCATGGAGTTTGCGTTGAGCATGTGAAGCGCGTTGTGAAATTGTACGGGATAGTTGCTAGACCCTGGGGTGAGAAATGTTTCATTCGGGCCGCGTCAAGCATTAACCATGGGAAGAAGATTTGATCAACGCTATCTATGACAGACAGGAGGAGAGTGTTGGGTTTAGGTTTGCATGTGGAAATGATGGCATGGTCAATGTAGGCATTAGCATCGTCTCATAGTAGGGCTCGTGATTGGCTGCAGGGGCATGAAAGCAACGCGGAAGTTGGGGGGGCTGCGGGTGACAGACGCGAATTGTGGTGGACCTGCAGCTAGACGTTTGGCAGGCTGAAGCTCCACCTGGTCGGGCATATTTGTATCTTGGTAGACACTGCACATTCCGGGTCAGCGTTTGGAGTCATTACGGAAGAACAAAGGGGAAGCGGATCTGGCGCGTTCCTTCGCCCGCATCTCGTTTGTTCCGAGGCGTGCCAGGAGCGTCGCCGCCCCAAAGTGTGACCCGAGAAGAGGGCCACAGAGGTCCAGGAAGCAATCGCCAAGTGGTGTGCAATAGCTGGGATCCCTCGCAGCGTGAGAGCACCCACTCATTTCTTGTTCCCCGTAGTGACTGCGCCTCTTGCAGTACCTGACGACGACGAGTACCGCCGCCCATCTAAGTAGCCTCACCATCGTCTCTGGAGGGCCGGTGCACGCTTCAAACTCAGCTTCAATCCGCCGCGTACTCGCCCCCGCACGCACACGCCGCATTCCCGTTCGACAGTCATAGTAGCAACACACCCCGAGCGATCACATCCAACCCTCGACCTCCTGATCTCTCCCTACACCGGGACGTTCGCTGCGCAAAGTCGCGTTCACGCTGCACGATGAAGGTGCGTTGCTTTGCTTTTGCCGCCACCCACGCCGCTGCGCCGGTCGAGTCACGCTCCGCATACGTACGTACTAACGGTGTTGCTTTAGTTCCGCAGGAGTATGAAGAGTGAGAAGGACAACCGCCCGCACCACATTTCAATTCCACCCAAGGACGCTATAGCCATTGTCCCGCCAAAAAAGGTACGTAGATCAACGTCGGGGCCCAAGCACCCCACTTCTGCTTCTTCTGCGAGGCGTGAGCGCACAAGGACGGGGCAGTCGTTCGCTCTTGGACGCACCACGCGCATTGCGTGAGCGCCTACATGTGGGCAGCACACTTGCGCCCGAGTCGAACAACATTGCACGTCGCTCCATGTCGCCATACCATGATGCGCGCGCCCCCGGCACCCGCTTCCCGATGGGGCAGATGAGCGCGAAGCTAACAGCCATCTCATTTCAGGTCATAAAAGCGCTTTACGACTACAAGCCCGCCGACCCCAGCCCAAACTCTGGCTTCCTGGCCTTTTCACAGGGCGACTTTCTGCACGTCGTCGGCCGCGAAGACGACAGCGAGTGGTACGAGGCCTGCAATCCGCTGCACGGCACGCGTGGACTGGTACCCGTTTCCTACTTTGAGGGCGTAGGCAAGACTGTGCGCGACAGTGGTGGCTCTGCGCCGCGCTCCTCCACACCGCATCAGCAACAACAGCAGCCCCACGACTCGGGCTACCAAGAACGCATCACGAGCCCCCAACCCTCGGCCCAGGACATTATGACACAGCAGATGCGCATGTCGCGCGGAGGAGGGCGTGGCGCCATGGTCTACGGCATCGTCATCTACGACTTCAAGGCGGAGCGGCCCGACGAGCTCGAGGCCAAGGAGGGCGAGGCCATTATCGTCATTGCACAGTCCAACCCCGAGTGGTTCGTTGCAAAGCCGATAACGCGACTCGGCGGTCCTGGCCTCATACCCGTTTCCTTCATCGAGATCCGCGACATGACGACGGGCCAGGCAGTCGCCGACACACAGGCAGCAGTCACGGCCGCGGGCGTGCCCAAGGTCGAAGAGTGGAAAAAGATGGCAGCAGACTACAAGAACGGCAGCATACCGCTTGGAAAGCTCGAGACAAATTCAGGACAGTCGCTGCAACAAGGCATGGAGCGCATGAGCATCAGGAGCAACGGAGGGCACAACAAGGCCGGCTCGGTAAGCTGTCTGACGCCGGGCGCACCCATCTCGGCTGACAATATACAGGTCTCTCACTCGCGCAACGGTTCCACGGCGCAACCACGAAACCAATACCGCACATCCGACAACTTGCTTGCACCCATCAAGGCATGCGTGCCACGCTACTGCTTTGCCGACGACATCTTCTGGTTCATTATAGAGTGCCAGATGGAGGATGGCCGACACTGGGAGTTGCAGCGGCTGTACCAGGACTTTTACGACCTGCAGATACAACTGATAGCGACATATCCAGTCGAGGCAGGCACGAGTGGCTCAGGCGAGCGAACACTACCCTTCATGCCTGGGCCCGTCACCTACGTAACGGACAACATCTCCAACGGGCGCCGCGCCAACCTCGACGAATACATCAAGAACCTCCTCAAGCTAGGACCACACATCACACAAGGTCACCTTGTCAAAGGTTTCTTCGCACCAAGACAGGGCGACTACGAGATAGACCCGGATATTGTCGCTGCTGAAGAGTATCGTCTGTCACAGCAATCACACCAGTCATCGAACCCTTCACAAGGAACGAGCAGACAATCATCTGCAGATCAACTGCAAGCCACAACACCTGTCACACCTTACTCAACTGGCTCCAACTACCCCTCCCACCAGCGCGGCCAGTCAACCGCCTCGCAAGCATACTCGTCAAACCTCAACCCACCGCCCATGACCCACAACCACTCCTCTACCTCCACAGCCACCAGCACAGGCACATCCTCTGCCCTCAAGATTAAAGTATGGTTCGAAGAAGATAACTGCGTCGTCATCCGTATGCCTATTTCGCTCAAGTTCATCGACCTCTACAATAAGCTTGTTGAGAGAAGGAAAATGGAGCGGCCAGGCGAGGAAGAGGAGGAGTTGATTGTTGAGTACAAAGATGAACAGGACAATTATTTTTACCCCATCGAGAATGACGAGGATCTCCAGATCGCGGTTGAGAGGAATCCCAAGCTGACGCTCAGTGTTACCACGAGGCGGTAATGGTTGAGCAACGATACAGGCTATCTTCACCCCGCTCAACCTCATTTCACTTCGCTTCTATTCATCGCGCTTTTCTTCTTCTTTTATGAGAACTTTGTTCTCCCTGTGGCTACTGTCTGTGGCTACCTTCTCTATTCCCCACTTTTGGCGTTGCAAAAGGATTCATAGCTTCCGAGAGCGATCTGACTGGCGTTGTTGGGCGTTCGGCGGAGCAATGAGTGCATGACGGCAGGCGGGTTCTTTTTTTTTGGGTTGCGTCTGAGTTGGATCTACTACGGGATGTTTGACATGTTGCAACGGGGTGTTGGGTGCTTCATTATGTCACGGAGGATTCTAGATGATATACACAATGAGGCTCAATACGGGGGCTGAGTGGGGAACATGACGGGGAAGTGAGTGGAGGGTAGGCAAAATGAGAGATATCTTGCGTACATCTTACCTTTTGTTCATCCAGGCCTTGCTTTCTACTGAAATGCTTTTTATATGTTTAAGCTAATTATCGGGATTTTCCAGATGCCGACGCGAGCCTCACGTATGTCGATTAGTATGCGGCCACACTAGAGCGCAACGTGAGCGGAAGTATAGAGACAGGTCAAGGCGGCTTTTTTCTTACAAATCAACTAATATGTCTTTGACGTGTTCTCCTCCTCGACGAAGTTCCAGAGCTGTATGTTCTCCAAGCACGAAAATTTGATTGACACCTAGATAGACTCAGGTGCACATTCGTACTGTTGTTCCAGAAACTTTGATGCTTATGTACCAAGGAACATCCTTTATACCACCGAACAATAGTAAGCGCTACCTGAATCGCGTATTTTCAAATGTACCTGTACCTAAATCGACATCCATTGAAAAGCAAACGGGGAGAACACTTTGAGCCTAATACTACTTTTCTTAGATGAGAGATATTACATTATCTCACATCGTAGTATTAGTCTACTTCATGTTTTCCGTTTACGTCCATTATGCGTGTATTACGCCATTCTTCCATACCGTGCTTCGGAACCATAATCAAAACTCTAAAGTGTATCTTTCCTATACACACACTCCCCTCTCGCGCACACCTTTTATGGCCACGAAACGCTACCATCTGTCCCAACAATCACCGTCCTCGGCGCATGTGCCATGAATAAATGCTCGTCCTCCTCGATCTTGGCCTTCGCTGCCGGCTGGTTGATAATGTTCAGAAATGTCAGCGCATGCGCCTGGTCTCTGAACTCCATGGTCGCCATGCTGTTCCAATCGACAGGATAACTGGCGTTTACAAAGGCGGGATTCCCGCCAAAGTAGTGTCGCGTGTGCACGGCGGGAAAGTTTGGGCCGGTGAGCGACTTGACGAGTGGAATGTGCACGTTGTCGTAGTGGTCGGCGTATTGGGTCAGGTTGAGGCCAGGAAGCATGGTGCCGAAGACGAGGGCGGTGAAGTAAGGGAGCACCATCTTGGATGAATCCACCAATCTGTGAGAGGTTGGTAACGAGTAGTATGAAATGCGAATAGGATAGGTGTATTTATATTTGAGGCTCAGAGTGCGGCTAGAAGGCTGGGAGATGAATGCTGTCTAGGTTGATACGCTCTTATATATCTAGCCCCGGAGGTAATCACTCCAGGGTATGATTTGCAGTCACAAAAAGGATGAAATCAATTGAATGGCCTGTTGGTTCTAACTGCCACAAGCGTACGGCGTTCAGCTAGTAGGCCTAATTTGCCGTGGCTATGTCGCTTTAGGGATGGATCGCGAAGCGAAGACTTTTATCACGAGAACCAGTTCACCTATATCTAACGGTTGCAATTGGTGGACTTGCGTAAGGGAACTCAAGCAAGCAAGGGTCGAGAATTCGTTTTGAGTTTCTTTGTTCTAACGATCATGGTCCTTCAGCCTACGGGAAACTGGGATCTAGAATAGGTATGACAGTTGGGAGACCACCCCTGCGTCGAGAAACGGGCAACCAATCAGAATATATTCTACAAGCCGCCATATCTGAGCACATACGACCATAGGACACTGGAAATTAGTTCTCCTGCCCGACCCGCCGTCTGTCGTGGTACCGTTTTGAGGATGCTGTAATGCGCCTTCCTGTTTACCACCTGCCGCCATTGCCATCACGTGACAGTCTGTCGGCGTTCCCCTTGAAGCGCCCGCAGTCACGAACGTGCTCCGATAACGATCGCACATAAGATGTTGTCCATCGGATCAAGCGTCATGTATCCAATAATGCTGAGTAGCGTCACACCAGCAATGCAGTGTCAGGCTAGAAGTCGTTGTCTGCGCGCTCCTCCCCAGCGTGGACGGCCTGGCAAAGTGTCCGGTGCTTTCCGCAGCCACCTCCCCATTCTACCCCGCAAAAGCAGACATAGAAACGGGACAGCCGGACCTATTCAAGAACACTTAAGTTTCCGTTGCTTTCCTTGGAGTCGTTGCGATGCTAAGTGTTACGAATATTCGCTATGGACCACGACCGAAGCAACCCTGGACCGATTGGAAGAAACAGACCAGGTGATCAAGCCGAACCACAGTATCATGGAGCATAAAAAGGTGGAACTATACAAAGGGTTTACACACGTTCGGGGCTAACTTGTGACAAGCATGCATCTCCTGCCGGAACAAGAAGGCAAAATGCAGGATCACGGCGGAGGAGTATGCCGCTGGGCTACCATGCGCTAAGTGTCGTAGAGAGATGCGCCCTTGCACATATACCGTGACAAGACACGGCCCAAGACGGCAGAGGCAGAGCGTCAGCCAGAGCTAGGATGGCGACGAAGATAGTATAGACCTAAGCACGCACAATGGCGCCGTGTCAGATGTGCATGCTTTACTAGCGACTGCTGTACAGCGCGACGATATAGGTGATATTTCTCAAGGTTCCATCAGTGCTGACTTGAACAATATTATGATGACTACTGTCGTCTCAAACGGCAACGACGCCTTGAATCTGCTCTTCGAGGCAGTCCAACGCGAAGAAAGAGAAGTCAATGGTGCACGAGTGACGGTGCCTATTGAACAGCACGCTACTAACGCAGCTTCTACACCACTTTCATCCGTTGCCAATCTGAGTTCCAACATGTTGCCGGACCTTTCAAATGAACTCACTGACACCTGGAACGCTTATCGCTTTGTGCGTATGGGGTGGCTATCAGCTCCAGAGATTGTATGGTACTTGGACATGTGAGATCACCCAGCCTCGATCTGGCGGAGCTAAATGCTAATACAATATGTAGGTTCTTCAAGAACATTGCACCGTTTTGTCCGATTTTGGATGAGTGTGGGTTCCTCCGCTTCGGCCTGCCGCTCATTCTGTGAAGCATAGCTCACAGACATCAAGTCTACGCAGAGCGGTCGAACCACTACCTGTTAGTGACGCATGAAACAGTCCTCACTTGTATGATACTGGTCATATCTTCTCGCTTCCACACTTTGCCTACTATCGGAGGGCATTCAAGAGGCTATTTGATCCACCAGAGACTATGGGATCACTTCCAGCACCTACTTATGCGCCTAGTATTGGGATTGGAGAAATACTCCAAGGCCAAGACGCGGACGCTGGGTACCATTGAGGCCCTGCTGTTGTTGACGGACTGGCATCCTCGAGCTCTGTACGCGCCTCCACCTAGTGACGGCTGGGATTCAGATATCTTGTTCACTGTGAAAGATCGAAGTGATCAGGACGGGAGCACAGTTGACAGCCCTCCCAGGACACGATGGCGAGAGGACGTGATCGAACTGGCCAACGGATTAGACCGGACGTGTTGGATGGTGCTCAGTTGCGCATTATCTCTTGGCAATGAACTCGGCATATTTGACGAACAAGACGAGCATGATAGCGCAGATACGAGGTTAGTGCAATGCGAGCGTCGAGTCGCGCAACAAAAGACTTGGCTGGCCAAACTCTTGTATGTTTACCAGGAGCAGCTCTCTTCGCGACTTGGCCGCCGATCAATGATGACACCTAGCAACAGCCACTCGGCGGTGTACTCGGATACTTCTCAAGCAGGCAGCGACATACAAAGACGCGCATGGACTCCGTTTCTTACTGCGTGGACACGATTGACTAAAATCGTGAGGTCTATATCAGATCTGCTCTTCCCCAACCCTATCACGACATCTCAGATCATCCGCAGCGGTCGCTATATCAGCATGACAGAGCATATCCAGACCTTACTCACCGCTTGGTCGAAAGACAATGATGACAACCTCTGTGAGTGCTAACCGATATCATTTCTCATCTCGCATTGCTGACAGCAGGCCACACAGCAAGTGATACGTACCTCAGCAGTTTCCTCGTTCTCGAGTATGAGAGTACGCGGATGCACACGTATTCTCTAGGACTTCAAGCCATTTTGTTTCGCACCCTGGCTGAATCGAGCAGCGCTGTCTCAGGTTCTGCGTCATTTCAGCTTACGCCCACCGATTTTGCGCACGTGCAGGAAGTCATCAATAGCACGCTGAATACACTCAAGATAGCTATCAAGCTGTATGACCTGGGTTTCCTACAGTTTTGCACGATAAGGAACTTCCTGCACATCACGACTGCTTCCATATTTCTCCTGAAAGGCCTTGGATTGGGGGTCAGCCCGGCTAGGTTGCAAGGTGCACTAGAGGTCCTGACGCAAGTCATAGTGGCGCTGAAGAACAGCAATCCAGACGACCTCCATCTGGGCGGCCGTTATTCGATGCTCCTCGAGATGCACATGACAAGGCTACAGGAGCATCTTTTGCCGTCGACTCGGCCGCACAACATCACACCTTCGAATTTTGATCTTTCTCGGTTCCCGGGCCTCGCTGCCTCGCTGGAGGCGAATCATTTCGAACTCGTGGGTTTCCAGCAAGTGCCAGAAATAGATACGTCAGATGCAAATTGGCTCAGCTTGCCACTCGACTCAAGTCTCATGTCATTTGGCATGGACAACTTTCAAGGTCTACAGTGCTTGGGTGATGACACCTTGGACTTTATATGGAATTTAGGAATGTAGCTGTTTTCGACAATCAAGCCCAATCCCACCTTTGGAAGTTGAGCAGCAATCGATAAACTTGACTGGAGCTCTCCAAATAAACAACGAAGGCTAAACTTCTTGCATACGAGATGCCTATTCTAGCAGTGAACACGATGTCAGGACAAACACATGCTGGTAGCAGCGAGATCGGCCGATATTGCGCTCATGGCCAGGAAACCTAAGTGAGATAACGGAACTTGAAGTTCTTGTCTCCGCTATCAGTCACAATCACGTGCGCGTCCGTGTCTACCTCGCCGTACAAGTCAACATGGCTGCAGCACCCCAACTTTTCCAGCGTCAGCACAGAGGGCGACATCGAGGAGCACAATCGAACTTACAGAAAGCATAACGCAGCAACATAGACGTGCGCCGGCAGTATCTTCCAAAACAGTCGGGTCCACTCGAACAGCACGTAGGAGATGTAGAAGACCTGGAGGACCCACACCCAGTCGTTGTCAGAGAGATGGAGGTCCTTTAGGATCCCGGCAGTCTTCGCATTTCCGATATTGCCTCGATCGAGATACGAAAGGACATACAGGAGGCACACGATTGACAGCATTTTTTGGTCGAACTGTCAAATCTGATTAGTGGGGATTACAGAGGTTGCTGGGGGATAATACCTTGCGACGGATGCGAGCCTGGACGTCCTCAGCTACTGGCACTATGTGCGCCTCCACCTTGGTTTCGGCCGTTTCCATGTACTCGATTGTTTGAATGTCTGGCTTGCCTTGTTCAATGTCTGCCATTGTCAAGCTTCTTGGAGGGCGATCGTGCAAAGGTGAAGTCAATTTGGCTAGATTGGGTAATGAAGCCGGATGATGGATGTAGATGAGATGAACATCGAACGACTTTTAACCTCCGCTGTCGCATTGCGGAGTACATCGACTAGGAGTCTGATAAACGAGGTTCCCCGGATTTACCCCATGTTAGGGTCGGAAAGTTGAACTATCCGTCGCTTTCCATCCGGCGAGGCGAGTCGAGCCTGTCGAGGTTTCTCCGCATAAAGTATCCTTATCATTCCGGTCAACGTAACGAAGATCGCGGGAGAGCTGCCGCGGTCACGAAACAAGAATTACATAAATTGTGAAGGGATTTTTTCTCTAAAGACACACACAGTACTCGAAATCAATCAAGCAAGGTCATATTCTACCAATCCCGCAATATGTCGAAGTCCATCGTTGGAACCCTTCCCTACCCTGTACGTACCTTTACAAGTCATGAACAAAGCCATAGCAGAAGCACTGACTATCGCAAAAGTCCCGGTTCGATCAGAAAGCGACCACTAAGTCTGGCAAGCCTGGGCAAATCAGTGATGAGAGCATCACGCTTCCCAATGTCCGCGGTCGCACCCCATCTCTCCAGGCATCTCGCCTGCGCACAATGATGCTCGAAGCCTACCGCGACCCATTCAAGACCCTCGCACACGCCTGCAGCTACGATGGTCTATCTTCTCGTCTTGTTGAGGAAGCCGGCTTTCCCATGATCTTCCTCGCCGGTTACCCTTGTGCAAGCTTTCTTTGTGGTGAAAGGGCAAGTGAAAACAGGATTTCCTATCGGCAGCCATAAACAAACAGTGTACAAGTAAAATTACTATATATTCAACAATCCAGCGCAGTTAAGTACATACGACTATAGGACACTGAAAATTAGTTCACCCTCGCCATCCGTCAAATCTCGCGGTTCCGGGTTGGGTTCAATTAACTGAGGTTCGTCTTCGGTTACCCGTTTTAGGAATCGCGACTCTGTCGCTAACTTGCTGCGCACCTCACTAACACAGCCCTAAATAACTCTTAACAGTATTTTAACATGCTGTAACTGTCTTAAGGTGTTCGCTGAGTTAAGGATGGAATGCTGCTAGGATGGGGCTTAACCTGCCGCTGCAGTCCTGCTTCTGCCCCCTCTGCTCCCTCTGCAATCCTGCTCCCTCTACTATTATCTACGATCCTTTTTACCATGGGACCTAAAAAGAAGATTAAAGATCTTTCGCATTTGTACTCTCTTGTTCAGCTCGAGAAGGAGCCGGCCCCGCTTACAGAGGAAGACGTGAAAAATCTGTTGATCCCTTCAAGCTACAAGTTGCACGCGTACACTATAAGCCTCTGGGCAGAGTATGTAGGGCTATTTAAGTTTAGACTATTTACTGACAGGTTAGATTCTCTGCAGACTGCTATAATTACGAAACCTATAACCCTATGTTCGGAAAAGCACCCACTGTGTACCGTATTCAGATGTACCTGCTTTGGCTTGCTAAAACAAGAACCGGTCTGCTAGAGGAGAAAATCACAGACACCACCGTCCGAAACCGCCTGTCGTCACTCAAACGAGCTATTAAGTTATTTACTAGGCGCCAGTATAGCTCCGCGGAAAACAAGGATATCGAGAACTACATTGAGAAAGAACTTGTCTATAAGGGGAAGATTTCAACAGATGCTTATAAGAAGCCAGTCGCCCCTTTGCTCGTTGCTGAAGATTTGATTCAGTTTCTATGGATGTGCGACGAATATCAGTTTACGCACCTACGTGCACGTCTACAGCTAGCTTTCGCTATTATCCTTATGACGTTCACGGGCAGTCGTCTAGGGGAATTTATTGAATCAGAGGCCTAGAAACATAGCAACGAGGGACTCCTGTACGGGGACATCGACCTCGTACGTTATCAAAACGAGACGTACGTTGGCTTCCTTCTTCTCATCAGGCTGCGCAACCGGAAAGGACACCGCAATAATAAGAAGCATTCGTAAGGAAGTACTCTTTAATGGAAAGTCTCATCTTCTAAGACAAACAGGCCTGTGATGCTTCTATACGAAGAGTCTACGCGATGTATGTGCGCAGTCGCACATTTCATGGCGATGGCGCTAGCAGACAGGGTGTTCGCGGACTGTTAGTCCTACCAAGATCTTGCAGCAAAAGAACTACTAATAGGCAGTTAGATGTACACATATCGCTACAAGCCTGAGGTGAAAAAGAGACCTATCCTCTGAAGTATCTGCAATAACGGCGTCGTCTCCGAGAACGATATCCTCACATACAATTGCTTTAACAACATGATCAAGGGTGTAGGTCAGCAGGCTGGTTACAGAGACAAACTGAGTGCATATTGCTTCTGTAGGGGTTATGCTGTAACAATAGAAAGTATGTATCACCAGACGCATTAATGCTATCGTTGGCTGACCATCTGGAAGAGATGTTGTCTCCGATCTAGAGAAGAACGTTGTTAGGCCATTCTTCGGATGAGACGGCCTGTTACTACGTTTCTGGTCTCATCGCCATCGATAGCTAATTAGTAATCTACGGGCGCGAACAAAACACAAAACTCATAAATGAGAACACGTCTATAATGTCGAAGAGGAACCTTCTCGCACTAATGCCTCCCGGATCTCAGCTTATAGACCGTGCTATACCTAAAGTTAAAGAGACTAGTATGAATATCACGGAAGTCGCTTTGGTAGACCGTACTCCAAGCCAAGAGTATGCTTTACGACGGCAATCGCGAAAGCTTGCGTACTGTAGGCAACGCGAGGCTTTCTTTGAGGGGGATCTCGTGGCAGCATCGCCTTCTAGAGAAAGAGCAAACCCTCTACGTTCTCCCTCGCGATATCTGCAAGCTCTGTGGAAGTTTGAGCCTAACTGAAGAGCCATAATAATGCTGATGTACCCTAGTTGCGCTACGGCAGCCGAGGTTGTGGCCGACAGAAACAAGATCCCGCTCAATAACATACTCGGGCCAATGGTGAATAACTGTCGTCCGGAGAAGACACGGTATGCCTATGCCTTTGCTTCACCCACTAAAGACGGGTGTTGTAGCGTGTGCGGACGTCAGTTTCATAAGAACAACAAAAGGTAAGTACTAAGCATTTTGTTTTCTGCTTTTACTAACGAAGATAGATCAAGGTCTGACTGGATGAATGAGCACTTACTCTATTGTGCCCGCAAACAACGCATACGGGATGCACAACAACACATGAGAAACTAATTTAACTACATCTATACTTGTGCTTGGAACGACTGCAACTTTAGCTTCCGCTCGAAGTCTTGCGCTATAAACTCTTCTTATGTGACGAGGCATCTCCGAGATGTACGCAGTTGCTAGTGCCTGTGGGACACTTGCTACGAGACCTTTAAGAGTTACGAAATGCTTGCGCATCACGTCTCTGACAAACATAGGGTTCCTAACGACTGGACTATGCTTACAAGGATGCATTACTGCTACGAGCACGATGAATGGTGCCGCTCAGATTAGCAGTGGTTACAGCATCTTGGTTTGTTCCACCTCCCGGAACTTGGCATTTTTTGTGGACTGATCTAGCTTAATGGCGTAGTTGTAGTCGCCGGGCATTGCCTCTTGTGCTTGGGCGACATCAATGCGCCGTTGCACGATCGCTTTCTGCAATTTGACAGCGCTTTCAACCTGCATACCTATATGAGAAAGCATCTTGCTCAACTCGATGTCCCTCCAGCTGTTTGTCCGCACCCGCACTGCCAAAGCACACTTGGCTCTGAGGAAACGTTCTGGAGCCACGCAGAAACCGTCCATGGCATGCCGCCTTTTGGCCCTCGCCGAATAACGGGAAAGCGCAAAACACCTGACGAGCTTGAGGATTCCGAAGATCACACGAACCACACAGCTGATAGCACGCCAGACCTGCCCAGCAATGACATTGATACATCATACGGAGTTGCGGCGGGCCATAATTCAGCGGCAGTTTCGGGTGAGGCAGTGTAGACCTAGTACGACTTGCGGCGCTTAAAGTTGGCGGTACCAACGGGATCAAGACGCGGACGATTCGGTGACGGGATGAGGAACGCAGAAAGTAGCTAACCCTAGAAATACATAAATGGCATTGTAACTTAGCTAGCGCGTCTCTATCGCTAAAGCATAGGCAAGTATAAGGATTGCAAGGTAACAGGAAGGGTAACATTGTATCATACAATCTGGCTTCATAGTCTAATCTGCATGTGCGTTAATGTACGCTCTGACAGCTGACAAGATGGACGCGTGGCCGCCAGCGTAGTCTCCTGGACCTTGATGATGTGCTCTAGCAGCGCCACAGCCTCTTTTGTTTGCCCATTGTCATCGTACGCATCAGCGAGCTCGTGCTGCGATGCCAACCGATCGAGGTCCATCTCTAGCCGGCCGATGAGCCTATTCTGTTAGTTGAGTCTCGCAGCCGGCGCCTTGGCAAGTACCATCTTCTGCAGAAGTTCTTTACTGGCAAGGGTGTTCTTATAGTCCGCGCCTAGCACCCTCTCCTGCTGCTCAGCCGACTGTCGGAGTAACAGTCAGCCTCAGCGTACTTCTGCTGATCATAGTATTCGCGTCCCAGCTTGTACTCTTTCCTCCCTTTATCCCTCTTAAACGAGAACATCGTTGGTATCGATCGTAAGAAGGCGTAGGCCGACCGTCGGTAGGTCTAGAGATCTATTATCGAGGCGGATGGCGGCGAAGGTCGTAGAGAGGAGCGTAACCCGGCAGGACGCGTACAGACATGAACACGAACAGTCGTTTCGCATAAGGCTTCGGTGCTGGTTGTGGTGTTGGTTGTGGTAATGGATGTACTGTTGGTTGTGTTAGCGGTAGCGCGTGTGGTCCGCATGCGGAACGGCCCAGCCCCCAACCTTTAGTTGGTGGGTTGTGCCGCCCCCACGGGTGGTACGAGTTCGATGTGCAGCGACCCGTCGCGACAGGAAGAGTAGTGATGATTCACACAATCACAGTAGCGTACAGTTCAAGTCGCGTATCATAAATACCCTACGGCTGGTCTGTCTTTTGCGATGGGGGACCCGTTGTCCGTTCTTGGCGCTGCGGTTGGCGTGACGTCTCTGATCATCCAGCTCGCAGACGAATGTGTCAAAGGTCTCGACGTCTTCAAACATGTATAATCTCAGCTGATTTATTGCAGGCTATAAGTTCTATAGAGAGGCAGCAAATCTACCACAAACGCATCGTTACCTGCTTGTGCGCCTTCACATCGAGCAACAGCGCTTCCTCAACTTTGCATTGGAAGCTGGCGTGTTAAATAAAGATGGAGTTATCTGCAGTGCCCTTCAAGTCAATCGCTCCTTGTTGTTGGCTGTCCTTGCCGAGATCAAGGCCTCGTTTGAGAACTATGCAGCAGCCAACGGCAAATATGAAAAAGTCGTGGCAAAGAGCGATATCGCCTGGGACGACCATTCGGAGCCGGACAACGATCTCATGAGCCTTCTCTGTATTACGGCGAGCGACGACGCGCAGTCTGAGAGAGCGGCACCTGCAAGTAAGCGGGCAGACGCTGCCGATCGCGTTTGCAGACTGGGGAAAAGCATCGCTGAAACGGCGAAGAATTTGCGGACCATCATGGTAGAGCCTCAACGCCTCGTTTGGGCAGCTGTGGACAAGAAATCTTTTGAAAGCTTGATTTCAAGAGTCGAGAATTTGAATTCGTTCCTCATCACTCTATTGGACAGCTCGCAGCTCCGGAGACTGCAGGATTCAATGACTACGGCCTATTTAGAGATCCTGCAGCTTCGCAACGACGTTGTCGATCTTACAGCTCTTGTTAAGGCGCTGTGTCCGGCAGCAGAATACCAACAGAATCTTTCTCCGGGAGCTGATCTAGTGAGCAATGCATTGTCTCAAGCAGTTGCAGAAGAGCAGGCGGCACAGGATAAGAAGAAAGGCTACCTTAGACGCCTGGCCCAGGTCAAGATCCAGCTCACCGAGATAAACGAGCTGGATCACACAGCAGCGGCTCCTGATTTTAACAACTTTATCGACGCACAACTTCCATTGATCGACTTCCAGTTCGAGGAAGAGATGCCTGAGCCCGAGAGTCTACAGCAACGGACACGGGCCATCTATCGTGGTAGAAGTGTCTGGATAGAGTGGAAAGAGGTTTCAACTGACAGTGCTATACGCCCCGATGATGTGCAGATCCAGTGGCGGATCGGCCTCTTGACGGACCTCCTACGCTCCGTTAAGCCGGATGGCTTCCGAGCAGCACCATGTCTTGGGTATATCAAGACTGCAGACGCAGATGATGCGACTCGTTTTGGCGTTGTGTTCGAAGGACCGTCAACTACGCAGTCCAGGATTACCACTCTTCGAGAGTTGCTCGGACAAACCCAGAAACCGTCACTCAGCGCACGTGTGGCGCTTTGTGCAGCGCTAGCTCGCTGTATACAGGACCTCCATGCGGTGAATTGGTTGCACAAGGCCTTGCGAGCGGATAACATTGTCTTCTTCTCCTCGTCCTTGTCACCAAATCTGGATACACCGTTCGTCTCAGGTTTCGAGCTTTCTCGTCCAAGCATCATGGACCAATGGACCGAGAAACCCGGATTTGAACCTGCCAAAGACATTTACCGCCATCCGAACGCGCAATCTAGCCAAACGGACGGTAGCTATCGCAAATCGTACGATATCTATAGCTTGGGTGTTGTGATGACCGAAATTGCACTCTGGAAGCCTATCGAGGACGTAGTAGGACTGGAGAATCTCCCGAAGGCTAAGCCACCGACGCTTCGAGGAATACAGCTCCGGCTTCTGCAGAACCCGTTAACGAGGAACGCAACGGATGCCGAATCTTGTTTACAGCAAGTTGCCTCTGCATGTGGCGATTCTCTACGCAACATTGTTGAGCGCTGCCTGGTCATGGATGCCGAATCCAAGTCTGAGTCAGATACCCCATCGGGGCTACAAGATACTACCGAACTGGATCTTGTGAAGAAGTTGGAGCATATTGCTGAAGCAATATGATCACCGCGACGAGTTCTTGAAACATTAGCGCAGTCCTTTTTATGGTAAATTCTGCAATACACAGTTAGCAATGCCCACGGTTGTCTAGCATTAGTCGTAGAGTAATCTTATGTGTTGTAAGGGACCTAGTTCAACAGCAAATCACCGTCGCAGGCCTGCCCCTTGGCATCGGAACTAAAATTAGTTGGTCTGTAGTGGCCCGTGTTTAATTCTGCGCAGGCCTTTTAAGAATTCCTCCCGAAGTAGCATCCTCATCAATACATGCTATGTGCTTCTGCAGCTAGCCCTCTATTGTGTGTAGATTGTGCGTTGACGCAAATGAAGCTGTTGTAGAAGCGGAGATCCACCGACGACGACATCTCGCTGCACACCAAAATCGTTCCGCCTGTGGAGGCGGCAGCATAGCCCACCAGCTGAAGGTTGGGGGCTGGGGCCGTTCCGCATGCACACCACATGCACTGCCACCAACACAGCCAACACCACCACCACCACCACCAGAATATTATCGATGCCCCAAATGTAACGATCATTCATATTTATGTCTTCATGCCTCCAACCAGGTTGCACTTCTTCCTACGACCTTCGACGCCATCCGTATCGATTATAGATCTCTAGCTTCACCGACGACTGGCCCGCGCCTTTCTACAATCAGTACCAACGATGTCCTCGTTTGAGAAGGATGAAGGGAGAAAGGAGTACAAGCTGGCACGAGAATACTATGATCAGCAGAAGTATGCCGAGGCAGAGCTGCTGTTGCGACAGTCGGCTGAGCAGCAGCAGAAGGTGCTAGGCGCCGAGCACGTCGACACGCTTAACAGCAAATACTGGCTGGCAACCACGCTTCGCGACCAGCAGAAGTACGCGAAAGCAGAGCCGGTGTGGCGGCAGCTGGTTCAGCAGCAGCAGAAGGTGCTAGGCGCTGAAGACGTCGAAACGCTTCGGAGCAAATACTGGCTGGCAACCACGCTTCACGACCAGCAGAAGTACGCGGAAGCAGAGCCGGTGTGGCGACAGCTGGTTCAGCAGCAGCAGAAGGTGCTAGGCGCCGAGCATGTCGACACGTTTAACAGCAAATACTGGCTGGCAACCACGCTTCACGACCAGCAGAAGTACGACGAGGCAGAGCCGGTGTGGCGACAGCTGGTTCAGCAGCGGGAGAAGATGCTAGGCGCTGAGCATGTCGACACGTTTAACAGCAAATACTGGCTGGCAACCACGCTTCGCGACCAGCAGAAGTACGCGAAAGCAGAGCCGGTGTGGCGGCAGCTGGTTCAGCAGCAGCAGAAGGTGCTAGGCGCTGAAGACGTCGAAACGCTTCGGAGCAAATACTGGCTGGCAACCACGCTTCACGACCAGCAGAAGTACGCGGAAGCAGAGCCGGTGTGGCGACAGCTGGTTCAGCAGCAGCAGAAGGTGCTAGGCGCCGAGCATGTCGACACGTTTAACAGCAAATACTGGCTGGCAACCACGCTTCACGACCAGCAGAAGTACGCGGAAGCAGAGCCGGTGTGGCGACAGCTGGCTCAGCAGCAGCAGAAGGTGCTAGGCGCCGAGCATGTCGACACGTTTAACAGCAAATACGGGCTGGCAACCACGCTTCGCGACCAGCAGAAGTACGCGGAAGCAGAGCCGGTGTGGCGGCAGCTGGTTCAGCAGCAGGAGAAGGTGCTAGGCGCTGAAGACGTCGACACGCTTAACAGCAAATACTGGCTGGCAACCACGCTTCGCGACCAGCAGAAGTACGACGAGGCAGAGCCGCTGTTGCGACAGTCGGCTGAGCAGCAGCAGAAGGTGCTAGGCGCCGAGCACGTCGAAACGCTTCGGAGCAAGTACTGGCTCGCTGCCACGCTTTATAACCAGCAGAAGTACGCGGAAGCAGAGCAGGTGTTGCGAGAGTCGGCTGAGCAGCGGGAGAAGGTGCTAGGCGCGGATCATAAGGACACCCTTGCCAGTAAAGAACTTCTGCAGAAGATGGTACTTGCCAAGGCGCCGGTTGCCCCGACGAACACCCTCGCAGACATCGTGTCCAGCCGACTTAGCGACTTCTTTGCCGATGGCAACCAAAGACGAACAGCATACACCGACTCCGAGATTCAGCAGGTCTCGCTCCTCTTAAGTCAAGTCAATCTGCAATGGAGCAAAGTTCCAAGAACATACATGGTTCTTCGGACGATCGGCTGCCTGGACCTCCTTGACACTTTTATCGACCTAGGCTTCTCCGATCACTGGTTCCCCGTTACTGAGCGAAGCCTTCCGCTATGTCTTCGACCTAGCAGGCGCTCACAGTTTGTGGCTGCCCAGGACCTAGTAATCACCAAGTCTGTGGACCTTGAGAAGGGCGAAAAGGGCCAGCACTGCTTTTTCCGAGAACATGAGCCTCTTCCGCTCGAGATGAAAGGGATCCTCGGTTCTGGGGGGTTCGGGCAGGTTGACCGGGTTCTCAGCTTGATCAGCTTCCAAGAGTATGCACTGAAGCGAGTGTCGCGGAGCACCGCGTTTGGTGGGCGAGGAACGGAATGCGTCAAACAGTTTATTGCTGAGATTAAGGCGTTGAAGCGTATAAAGCACCGCCACGTGGTGGAATTCGTTGGGAGCTACACTGACCCAAAGTACATGGGTCTGATTATGTCTCCCGTTGCTGACATGGACCTGTCTACCTACCTCGCACGCGCCGACACGGCCAGACACCGAGAGCTGCGTACCTTCTTTGGCTGTCTGGCTCGGGCGCTTGAGTTCTTGCACGAGCAAAGCATTCGGCACAAAGACATCAAACCTAGCAACATCTTAGTGCATAGCGGAAATGTCCTATATACAGATTTTGGGCTCGCATTAGATTTCACCGACAAAGACGGCAGCACGACGGCCAGCATGGTGAATGGAATGACGCCGAGGTATTGTGCGCCTGAGGTGGCTAACTACGAACCTCGGAACACGTCGTCCGATATCTGGAGCCTAGGGGTTGTCTTTCTTGAGATGACGGCGGTGCTTAAGGGCAGAACAGTTGAGTATATCTACGACTTCCTCAAAGAGCATGGGACGCGGCAGGCATATGTGCGCACGAATCCTACTAGCACTTATGCTCTTATTACAGAGCTTAAAGAGATAGGTAGTCCTACCGACAACGCAGCGCTTGTGTGGGTCCAGGACATGGTCATGTTACAGCAACAGCTGCGGCCTACGGCGGCGTCGCTGATGGGATCCATCGCCAGCGCAGGCGAGAAGGGGGTCGGAGATGGTGCTTTTTGCGGGATATGCTGCGCTTCGCGTGACGACATCTTGAGCGATTTTGATGAGGTAGGGATAGCTGATACCAAGTGAAGTCATGTATTCGTCTACGGCTTGATATGTATCGGTTGCGATGTGCTTGAGGAGTACGAAGACGTAGTAGGTTGGACGAGGGATCAACGGCGGGTCTGCGGAGCTAGAGGGCGGCGCGACGGTTTATCTCTATAACATGTAAGCTTTCGCGTCAGCTATAGTCATCTATTGCACTGCGTATCGAAGTTAGACGATGCCTGTATTGGAAGCCAGTTGCGGTTTCGATGCTGGGTGTGTTCGTTGACGCGAACCAAACGCCGGTGACTTCAAACCTAGCCCCGCCTCCAATCCGAGCTGGATTTCGGGTGTCCTGAAGCGCTTGGCAAAAGTGTCGCACGGCCACTCAGCCACTCGGCCACACAACCGGAGCCCATCGCCCGTCCCACAACCCTCTCCATCGCCTTTTGTGCCGTCGCGCTCGCCATCGCTGTTAGTCCTTCCAGCCCGCTACAACTGGAACTTGAGCCACAAGCGCAGCTCAACCTTGACTCCGAACGACCGGGTCCGCAACGTCCGCTTGGCTACAGCCTCTCACATCCATCCCAATCACTCAGACAACTTCCCGTCGGGACGCCCAGCGTCAACTACTTGGAACACGATTGTACAGCACTTCCGAGCAACTTGGTGCTTTGCCTGGTATCCTCTCGAAAGCGACTCGAATCGCAAGCGCGCAACGTCCTCCAGCTGCTAGACGAACTTCCACCTAGACCATGCCCATGTCCTCACCACCGGGACGTGTCGGTTGGAGCCACGGTCGACGACAACAGGGGCGCGATGAATGACAGGAGGATCTGGACGGATGGTGGCAGGATTGTGACGAACGACAACAGGTTCATGCTTGCAGTGGTATGATCAAGTTAATTTACATACAGCTTGATTGAGCTAACTATCTCTGCAGAACCCTACAGATGTTTCATACGCATACCTTCTCGCCGTGAACCATCGAGGCCGTTTCACTATCCTATTCTGCAAGGTCAATCAATTCTGTCGAGCAGCAGAAGTCAATATAATTATATCTATCAATTCGTGTCGACGGGCGATTCTACATGTACTAGTCGACCCGACTGCCCGACTAGCACTAGAATTCAAAGTTCACCGCTCCTCGTGTACCAACCCATACCCGCTAATCTCTGCAGGCTCGCGAGAGTGCTTTCAATGTAGCAGTCACAAGCGTTGTTAGGTATTAGGGTTCAGGAGTTCTCACAGGCTACAAAGTTAAGATTGTTACCTGTACATAGATACCTAGATACCTATATCTGTTCGGTTGTTAGTCTTAGAGTGTTTACCAAGCTAGGTTGTTAACCTCGATAGTCCCATGACTCAACGCTTGATAGGCTACTATAGTACTCTACACTGCGCGAAAAGAGCTTGCTGCGAAGCTTTTGGGGTGTTAATGCGGCCTTTTTAAGAACGCGACGACATACAAGAAGGACTGTCATAGCGATCGGTGTAGGTCGAACGAGTCGTACTACGCATTATCTAGACCTTCATGACATACTTATAGATTCACTTTATACTGCTATGCAGTTAACAGAAAACCAAGCTGCGGCCGTCGCGATTCTATTCTAGTTGTATTGCCAGCCTAGCTACATTCGCTCTTGACTACCAAGAACCATCTGACACACCGAGATGTCGTCCCTCTAGCATTCTGCATACGAGTAACGGTATCCTTCTGTCGTTTTCTAGAACCATTGACTGTACTGCCTTGGATCTAGACCTGCGGCTTCCGCCTCCGCCGAGCGTACAAGCTGTAATGAATCAGCCTATAGAACTAAGATTAAGGTGCTAGTCTAGCTTACTAGACATAGCTCGTCTTTGCCTAAGGAAGTAACAAGCGCGTTGTGATCTTGGATGCAGAAACATGGGCGATAGATCGAGGATTAGAGGTTTACCGCAAAGTCGATAGGTAAAGTGTAATAAGTAGCGACTGCAGGCGGCACTGTAGGCTGCGGCAGACAGCCTGCAGCACCTATGAAGCTGAGGTAGATAGCTAAAATGAACATGCTGTGTCCTTGAAGGTGAGCGGGATTAGCGGTTTAGCTAGCTATTATAGGTATTATATAGGCGTTAGCACAGCAAAAGCGATAGTGAGCGTCAGATGCGGATAACTGAAGCTGGATCCTGGAACCCGTAAACTCGTGTAGGCGGTGCACAGCTCAACAAACAATAAACGGACTTCTGTATACTGTAAACCGAACATAGGCGTATCGCGCGATACGAATGGTTGGCACGAGGCGCTTAGGCTGATTTTGCTAATGCGGCGCAATTACAGTAGTTAGTTTTGATTCACCTAGCGCTCTACACGGCGCAGCCTTTGCTAGTGAGCTCAAATAGATCCCCGCCCCGCCTTCGCACTCGTTGTCTGCACCAATACAGTTTCGATGTTAATAATAGACTTATTGTCCGCTGCACCTCCCGCGTATGTAGAAAACGCGTCTGATCCTTACTAGAAGATTAGAAACACAAAGTACAGCTCTGTCTTTGTAACAAAGGGTCTACTAAACGTAGAAGACTATCGGACTTACGCAAAGCACATTAAAAACTCGTTCTTAGAACGTGGCGTTGTAAGGCCTTATAATTTGAGACTTAGGACATTTCGCTGACTATAACTAGAATTCTGGCTCTTGTGCTGCTGGTATTAGCTGTTTTGTTGAAGTCTAATTGAGCTAAGCCTTCTTGAACATTGAACGGCTTATACACGAATACTAAAATGTCCTATATACTATTGAACTACTAAATGAAGAGGATGTTCTCTTTCTTCTTCTTAGCTGATACTCGCAGTCCTCTAGAGCTTGCGTATATATAGAAATTAAAAGGCTAGGTGAAGTTTAGATCTTTGATTTAGTAATAGTTGAGCCTCTAGTAAGCATTTCTATAGGGTATGGTATGCGCACGCTGACTATGTACAGCACATGTCGTCTATACAAGAGCACATGGCGTGCGCACCTGGCATGATTACCGCGGAGTTGCACGAGCCCCTGCTTAAAGATAGCATGACAGACGTTCTATACAATCTAGTCCCCTAAACGCTATCTGCTGCTGAGTTTAATTGTGCTGTAAGCATTAACTTTCTAGAAATGCTTATGGTAACACCCACTGCAACCCCAGAATCCACTACTACTACAGATAATCCTCCCACATACACAGATACCCCGACGGCAGGTGGGGGCTTTTTGCCAGCTAAGCTGCAACCACCAGCGTTCTCTGTGCATCAATGTCATCACCGAGGCATAGACCGTCGTAGTGAAGAGGATGCTTTTGAGCTGCCATTTAGATTTCTAGAAGTCATTCAGCATTTGCATACTATTCTATCCCATGTAAGTTCTCAGCATGCAAACGATATAGTTAGTTCTCACAGACCTCAGTGTTATCACACTAGCTTCTATATTCAAGACAAAAGCTATGAATCTATGCCCTGCCACGAAGGAGGCGTTGAAGCTTTTGAGTGTCACATAACAGCTTCTGAAGCTTAGGTGTACATCACAGTGGAACGAGAAGGAGCAATCCTTGTATATGATTGCTACCGCGACTAAGAGGTAAACCTTTTCCAGCTCTCTTAGAGCTTAGCTTACCTCTAAGCAGGTATGGGCGCAAGCTTATCAAAACCACGAAGAATGTACTGGCTGTCCGAATTATTAGAATACATATAGCTTCGTTTGATTCATTCATGTAGTCGAGCGAATCTAATCAATTATGCAATACTGAATCTTCTTTAGCGACTCCCTGTTTGTGATCTTAGAGTGATACGACTGGACAATTACTCGTGATACTATGATGACATTGGAACACCCAATTGCTGAAGCTCGGATACCATACCATCAGGTCTTACAGTGTAAATATGATACCGTTTACTGTATCCGTGCTTTTGTGACTGCGACAGGACCCGGGAACTGGTTACGTACTCCTGCCTCAGACACTGTTGAATTCTGATTCCGGAGGGGTTGTCGCAGTGGGGAAGAAGGAACTATAAAATGACCCTCGTAACCACATGCATTAATGTCGTAATGAACATGTGCTGTATTATCTTTATTCGATATTCGCTGAAAAGGACTGCCTAACAGCAGCAAAACAACCTGCCACTATACTCGTAAGTACACCTTTCGGTATCTGCGTGAGTTAACTGACCCTTTGGAGTTTGTTAGACCCACACGAAGACTCGCGGCTGAAAAGGCTTAAAGCGATCTTCCAGCGCGTTTTAATATATGGTAAGTTAGATTACCCCGACAGGACTCTGGCGTACAACTAACGTAATCTCAGAAGTCAAGGTCCGAGACCAAGATGGTTTCATCAGCGACAGCTAAGACCACCCCAGCACCTACTAGCGGCAAAAAGCCTATATTCAGCTCGCCTTTAGTCATCGGAGTAGTTGCAGCTATCTTTGTGGTATTCGTGGCATCAATCATCTGGTGCGTGTTGAGACAGCGTCAACATGTGAAAGCATCAAATAGAATTCGTCAGGAAGCTGTGGAGAGACTCGAGGCTGGTAGTATGTTACCCAAATAGACTGCGATAGCAATAAAAAAGAAAAACTAGAAGACAACTCAATAGAAGACCGTACACTATAGTTCTCGGAAACAATCGTAAAAAGGTTGCTGTGATGAAGGGGTGCCTGGTTTGCCACAGAAAGGACCTTACAAGGGAAATGTAACCTTCAGCCACCGCATCCTCTAGATCCATCTAGTTGGGTTTCCAATACACTTCCAAGAGCTTGTTGTGCAGCTGGGCGTGAGCTAAAATCTTTCTAAGATCTTTGTACTTTCGAGGTTTGTTCTCCACCTTCAAATACGATATAAGATCTTGCAGAGGCCGCCCATAACCGTTTGCAAAACGCATTATTGCATGACTGGACAGAGTTTGGCTTCTGTACGTGATGCGGCATCGGATATTATTGCTTTTGATCAAAAATGCGTCGCAGGAAGCTACCGCATCTCGAATCGTAAGGTCTTCAGACGTCGAAGGGAGCTCCCAGAACGAAAGCAGTGTTGAGATGGTTCTGAAAT